CACCAGCTGTGGTCCAGGCCACTCCGTACGCCCAGTCAACTGTTCACTTGCCTCACGTCACATTCCACCTTGTTCCGTCCCGCCCTCACACTCGTCTACCATTGGCATCTCTACCTAGTCGTCACTGGAGCCGCTAAGGCGCGGCTGTCTCTCAACCGTCTCCATCCAAGACAATCAATCATGAGGTGCCAAAATAGACTGAGACATATCCCCGGCAAGTCGCTCCAAAGAGGCACTCCACGCCCATCCCGAGCCACTCAAATTCAACTCTCCAACGGCAGGCAATCTTCCCATCTCAAATCTCATATCTCCATGTACGGATATATACAACACCTAGTATATTGAGGTACTCTTCAAACTTCTGCTGGTCTCCTGTCACAAACTAGAGGTGCTAACTCTGATACCTACCAAGGTCCGGTCTGCAGTTGCATTTGCGTCCATCACACTATCTCCATCTTCCCGCCCGCCTTCATGGAATGTCTCTCCGCCGCTCCGCCGCCTGCCGCCTGCCCCCAACCACAACGGAGGATCGACTCAGCCAATATGCAATCCATCTTCTTTTCCCCTCCTTTGGTTTTCCCGCCCTCGTCAACCACCATTTTCCCTTTCTTCACTAATGCATCATCGCTCTCAAGGTACCTGCAATACCTTACTTGCTTGACTAGCAAGCACCATCCAGGTTTATTGAACAAATTGACAGACTCGGGATCTGATCATAGCTAATGCTAGGCATTGACGAGCTGCACTGCACCCGCACAATTCCTCAACGGCTTCACCAAACAGGGCACCCGAATGTGGCAGCCGTTGCCGAACGGCCGATCCGGCTGCCACCTCCAACCCCCGTCGCCCGTCCGCCCTCATGTCTTTCTGCGAGGCAACTTCGGGCCCACGCCATACCATCCCAAAGAGCATGCGATTACGGATACCCATCTTCTCTAGGAAACAGGCACGACGTCCTCCCGTCCTGATGCGGTTAGTCTTCGTCTCGTCTTCTTCGGCTCGTGTTCAATCGAGATCACGACAGTCAGACATAAAGCATCTCCATGCTGTTCTCGCACACCACACCTAATTTGTCCATCCACATGCTGCCTCGTCCTTGTCGTTTCCTACATACCACCATGCGAGTGCTTTTCTGATGTCAGGCCCGAACTTTTGAAGGATGGACTGATCAATGTCTCACGCAAATGCAAGTAATTCGCATTTTTTCTTCTCGATTCCGGGTCAAAATCAAGTTCATAGATTCATGGCTTGCAGCCTGCAGCAGGACGGTCCGGCCTGATGTGGCTTGCCTGCCTGCCTGCCTGCCTGCCTGCCTGCCTGCCTGCCTGCCTCTAGACCCTAGAGAGACTTTGGCTGTTGAGGACCCCGAGATAGCGGCCGGCACGAGCTAGATTCAGCGCCGCAATACGACCTGTTAGCATAGGGTGCTGCCTTTCATCCTATGTCCTGCAACAAATGTCATATGCTACTATGCACATGTTCTTTCACGCAGAACACTGTGGCTACGCTCTTCTGTTCGGCCGGCACGGAAGCGGTCGCGGTGGGTGTGCCAATCTAGTATCAGTGCATCCCATCCGGTCCGGTCTATGGCAAGAAATGGGTTCCTAGCCTTTGACTTCCTACTCCCGTCGGCCACCAAGAAGAGACGGGAGACCGACTGCCTTGCTGGTGATTGATGGATACTATCCGCCAAATCTCCACCACCCCAGCACGCACTCCGCAGCTCAGTACTGTGTGCACATTGGAGCATAGGACAACGCAGCATGGGGGCCAGTGGCTCTTCCGCTTGTTCGGCCCAGCCTGCGCACGTTCTGTCTGGTCAATTCATTCAACCCCAAGCCAAGCGATCTACAAGCTACGGGAAATATTCGCGCCTCTTTGCGAGGACGAACCCCGGGGCCGTTATCGTCACGAAAACAGCATCCGCCCCGGCCAAGTCAGGCAAGGATCAGGAGCATCATGGAACGTCAACCCTGTCGGTCCGGTCATCGCAATGTGGCAGGTCAGACTGAAGAATGTGAGTGCAAAAGCGACGGCACTGCGTCTGTCACGGTCCTGGCTGCATCATCCATCAGATATCAGAATCTTCAGAGCGACAATGGCCCTCCATCAAGAGTCAGACTCTACACTGTATGTTTTCGAAAAGCAGCACTCAAGCAGCCCTGGCGTCACCCAGCCTGGCGTACGCCTATTCGTACACAGACGTATGCACCCTCAACCTCGCTTCCTGACCACCAACCGACAGGTGGGGGAAGGAACAAGGGATTGAGACGGACTGAAGAGGGACAACGACGAGCGATATACGGATATCTCAAAGGATCAGTTGAGGGACCTGCAGGTCCGAGAGATAATGTCCTCGGTACCATTCGAGAGCCCCAGTACGCGGCAGAGGCAAGGTCAAGACACAGAAGCCGTAGCAGGCAGAGCCGGATTTAACTCTTCTCTGGCCTCGTACGCTCGTCCAAGTCTGGTCCGGTCTCTGCTTCATCATGGGCCAGAGAAGGGACGGGTATCCATAATAAGCACCACGAATGCTTGTTCATCCGCTCAATGAGACTCCACGCCGGCCGTCCGTTTGTCAGATGCGAAAACTGGAGACTCTACAACGGCCCAGGCCATGCCGGGGTTTTGTCAGTGCGTACATAGCAGATGGCGAGCCGATGTTTTTCTCACGCCTAGCGACTGGAGGCTGCTTTTCTCCAATTTTTTCAGGATTTTACCCCTCCCGGGCATTGCAAGAGTCTGTCTGCGGCTAAGTTGCTCTGCCCTTGAGGTTACTGTTTCCTACGGCCTACGGATATTGCTAACACTGTCTCCAGACGCCATGTTGCTGCTGATGAGCAGACCGGGTCGGTTATTTCGAATTCCATCCTCTTGTCTCCAAGGTACCTTGCCTACCTATCTCTTGCCATGATTTTCCCCCGGCTTTCTCAAGGCGTCGAACCATCTCATTACCGGGCCGTTGATTCGACCTCGCCTAAAGGTGTTCCGCCAGGCCCTGGTCATTACCCTCGGTCTGCTGCAACTTTTCAGGTCAGGAATCGAGGCCATTGACGGAAGGGCTCTGTTCCTGGTCCTTGTCGCCAGCAGCTCCTCCAGAGGCTCTCCACCTTTTGTCTCTGGATGTGCAGATGCCCGGTCGTACTCAAACGAATGATGGAATCTGCCCACCAAAACAGTGGATCTCCAAATCTCGCCGTGCTGCCATTTTCCACATCAACTAGCCGCTCAACCATGGAGAATGGAGTACGGCAACCAACCAAGGCAAGCAGACCCTCCCTAGTGCGCAGGGTATGGCGTTATTCGCGCGCTACACTAGGCTCTTGCGGCTTGCCAGTCTTACTATACAGTAGCAGTACTACAGAGTACCCATTCTGAAAAGATAAAAGAATAAAATAAAAAAATATGCTAACCTCTCTTGTGAGTCTTGTCGCTTCTCGTCGCCTCTCACATTCCTCGTCCCCCTCTCGGTTTCTTCAAGCCATGCCCTCATACAGCCTCCACAGGCTGCCGTCGTTTCGCTCCCCTCCCCACCAGATCGCCTCCGCCCTGTGATTCGCGTTTCCCCAGTCGCCATTCATAGCGTGATGGGGCCAAGAAGAGGAGGGGAGGGGAAGAGGAGAGGGCAGGGACCAGCCGGTGGCCCAGTACCCTCAACTCCAGCCGCCTCTCACTATTACCATGCCTATCGTGTTGTTTCGCTTCAAGGGTCGAGGTTCGAGGGTCCTCGAGGATTATGATGGCTCGTGTTCCTTGGTTGACTCCAGCAGCCGCCTCCATTCTTGAAACTACCTGACTGTGGTTGCAGGTCAGACAGACATCAACAAGGAAGTAAGACGAGGAGAGCGAGCAGGTCAGGGTAGGCAGGCAGGACATGATGCCGGATCATGGCCCCGATTCACGCTTCCCGTTTCTTGACACTTGTCCGTCGCATGCGCGCCGAAGGACGGCCGTCGAGGTGCGATGGGAAACGATGCAGTGCGAGTACATATCGCAGCACTACTCTTCGCAAGTGCTGATGCCAATCGGTGCGATGTGTCCATGGCAAGACGATTGCCTGCCCACTGCAGGCTATCTGGATGCTTGCTAAAGAAGCGTCGTCCCAACACGGTGCCACAAAAGCCAGCCTCTGGGCCCCATTTTGGACCTGCACCCACAAGGGCCCCAGCCCATGCCTAGCAGGTCGTCAATCCAGCCAGTGCTGGAGACAAGAGGCAGCAACAGCCATAGCAGCAGCAGCAGCAGCAGCAGCAGGCGAAGACGTAGGTGCAGCAGTAGCGGCGGCGGCAGACGCAGCTGGGAGGCAAGCAGGGTGGTGGCAGCACCAGATGGCAAAGACTGAAAGACACACACACACACACAGACGCGCGCACTCACTCAGTGAGAGAGAGAGAAAGACGGGAGTGAGCGAGTGAGTGGGTGATTGTGAGAGAGAGAGGAGGGGGAGGAAAAAGGTACTTGGGGTGCGGTTGTGGACTCTTCCGCTCCAAGTAGGCCCAAGTACCTGCTTCGTACTCTGGGAACCCTGGCCCCAGGGGGGGGGGGCATGTACATATGGACTGGGTGGGAGAAGAGATGGACGATTTGAACGCCTCCTCTGCCTTTCTCTCTGTTTTTTTTTTTTCTGCAACTGGCACATCTGCACACGCCCTTCGCACCCCCATCCACCAACATGCTCACCCCTCCCCTTCTTCTTCGTCTCCCCAACCCCGATACAACCGCCGCGCACCCCTCCCCTCGTCTGCCCCTCGTCTCTGCCCCAATACCCTTACAGACGAACGTGATGCATGTCTATCTGTGTGAGCGCGAGAGAGAGCCAGTAGTGAGTGTGGTGTAGCTAAGAAAAACAGGCCGCGAGTAGGTGCCAGTCTAGACGAAGTACCCTCAAGACCCATCGTCTTGCCGTCTTGCACCACAATCTTAGACAAGTCCAGTCGACAAGTCCGTACATCCATAATCCATTACCACACATTAGACACATCCATCCATACTCCGTACATCTCGAGTACTTTTTTTGCCTTGTTTGGATGGAGCCACCATTACCGTCTCCATGCATGGGCGCATCTCTAAACTAAACAACCCATGCATGCCTGCCAACCCTCCACCACATCTGGCTACGTATATATCCTTGTCCCTCGCCCCAGGACGACCTACTCTCCTCGGACGACCTCATCACCATTTCTTCTCCCCCGGGTCATTGTTGTTTTTTAAAAGACCAATTGGTCCGCGCAATGGTTTGAGTTTCCATTGCCATCTTTCATCTCTGTATAATACTTTGTTTGACCCCTTCTCGAAATCCTCCCCCACTGCCACCAGCATCCCATACACGCGGCTTGGGTGTTGGTCATTCCGTCTTGCCCGTGTCATTCTTTGATACCACCTCCAACGACGGACACAGACAAAGCGCTCTGCTTGTCCCATCTACTACCTCGATCGTTAGGGTCCTTCTAGACAGAAAGGAAGAAGAGACTTGAAGACAGAGCGAGAGCAGGACTTGGCTTCGGAAGCTGCACGACGACAACACATAGATCGAGCAAGAACTCATCATCCGGGACTCTCTCGACAGTCATCACCACACGCTACTCTAGATCCACGAGCGTGATACCTCGTAGGAAGCAGAGCAGATTGGAGATACCATCTAGATTTCTCGCATTCACATCACCTTGGGTACCAGTTTGAAACTGTTGGAAAGTTCTCAGGTTGCCTCACCTTCAGCAGAACACCTCACACCTCACACACCTCGGTCAGAAAACAAAATAGTGGGCCATTTCATCTGAATACGCAACAAACATATTCACCAAAGGGCAAATCAAAGAACAAGTCACGGGACTTGTTCAAATTCACCAAGACGATATTCTGAGAAGGAAGGCACGCTCAAGGCCTGGACCTCCTGCCACCTCCTGACCCTTCGAGAATTTCTCTGGACCAGAAGGCACAAAACCCAACTCCTTCTCCCACTCTCTTCTTCTCATCCTCCTCACCCTCCACAACCAACCAACAACCACGCGCGCAATTCCTCCCATTGCGGCTTTGTTGGGTTCCCCTTCCCATCTCCGTCAAAACCTCTTCACGACCTTCTCCGAATTACCTCAGAACCACGCACGCGCACTTCCCAACCGCAGGAAGCAATTCACGATGGCAGACATCATGAATCTCTTCTTGCCCAACCTTGGCTTCGGTTGGTCTCCTACCGCCTGGATGTACCTGTTCATCGCCCTTTGGTAAGTTACTACTTTCTGCGGGAAAAAAAACAATTACCCACCATTGCTCCTGCTGCTATCGCAGCAAATATCTGCCGTGCCTTTTTAATTTTCGCCGTCTTTTGTATCTAACCTTCCTTGACAGGCTTCATCGCTACACTCGCCTGCTCGTCAACTGCGTCAGCCACTGGGTCTACAAGTCCAAGCCGATTCCCGCCAACCCTACCTTCACGGCTGACGATGTTACCGTCATCATCCCCACCATTCACAATGTCTTCGAGGAGCTTCGCCCTTCTCTGCTTAGCATTATCGCCTGCAACCCTCGCGTTCTGATGCTCGTCACTACCAGCGAGAAGCATGCCTCTCTTGAGAAGCTTGCTCGCAGCCTTCCTCACCCTAATGTTCAGGTCTACTCTACCCCCATTGCCAACAAGCGTCTTCAGGTCTGCGAGGCTCTGCCCAAGGTGACTACCAAGCTCACCATCATGGCTGACGATGATGTCACCTGGCCTTCTACAATGATGCCCTGGATTCTCGCTCCCTTCGAAGACCCCAAGATTGGCGGCGTCGGCACTTGCCAGAGAGTTAAGCGCGTCTGGGATGGCCCGCTGTCCACTCGCATCTTCAACTGGCTCGGCGCTGCCTACATTGAGAGACGCAACTTCGAGATCTCAGCCACCCACAACCTCGATGGCGGTACTTCCTGCATGTCTGGCCGAACTGGTGCCTACCGATCTGAGATTCTGTCCAGCCACGACTTCCTTGAGGGCTTCAAGACCGAGAAGTGGGGCAAGTACATCCTGAACGCCGACGACGACAACTTTGTCACTCGCTGGCTCGTCAGCCACCAGTGGAAGACCTGGATCCAGTACGAGAAGGAGTGTGAGCTTGAGACCACTCTGGAGAACAGCACCAAGTTCCTCTACCAGTGCTCTCGCTGGGCTCGCAGCAACTGGCGTAGCAACTGGACCAGTCTTGTCCGCGAGAGATACGTTCTCACGTAAGTAGAAGCACACGCATCTGGGATTTCCTCCTATTGTCTGGCATGATGTACTAATATATGGTGACTACAGTCAGCAGCCCTGGTGCACCTATGCTCTCCATATTGCAACCTTCACTTCCTTGGCGTTCCTCTTCGACCCTCTCATCATCTTTGCTTTGTGGAAGGGCACTGCCGACTGGGACGTTGAGAGCCGCCGCCAGGCCCTCTGGGCTCAGATCATCTTCGTGTTCGGTTTCACCAAGGTCGTCAAGCTCGTGAACCTCTTCCGTCGCAACCCTAGCGACATTCTCTTCTTGCCTGTCTCTATCCTCTTTGGATGGGCCCATGGAATCATCAAGCTTTACGCCTTGTCTACCCTCAAGATGGTAAGTAGCTACTTCTGGCAAATCATGTGATATCAATCTTGTTAACATGTTGGCAACAGACCTCCTGGGGCAGCAGAGCCGATGGTGATACCAACGATGACATCCGTCTGACTCCTCGTCCCAAGCGAGCCATGAGTCTGACCACGCCCCCTGGTGGTCAGGACCTCGTCCGCTACCGCTTCGAGCGCCAGATGACCGAGAAGGTCTCTGACTGGCACCGCCCGACTAACGAGGCGCGTCGACCCCAGACTGTGCGCATGAACACCTTCCCCGCGAAGGATATCAAGGCGCCTCACGTCACCTTCTCCCTCCTGGAGCACCCCACGGACTAGATCCACGGCAACCACGAATATCACGAATTATGAATTTGCAACACATTGGTTTGCCAGAGGAGAAACGGGACTCTGGCTTGGGTGGCTTTCTTATGTCTTCTTTCCTGGAACGCGGAAACAAAGAGGGTTAATCATCCACCCTTTCTTCATTTTCTTTTCGCCTCTTTTCCGGAAAACAAAATCACCGACCCAAAAGGACTTTGGAAGGGGAAAAGTTTTGTTGTTCTTTCCTCTTTACGATGAATACACGAACGATCGCATACGGGAAATGGAACCACAGCACAGAAGTGCGTGTCAAGAGTATAATCATCAACGGCATGGAAACCATTCAGCATGGACAGCAGGAATAGGTGGTTTGGTCATCTGCTTCAGGGATACAGTGTTTCCTCCCTGGATTTTCTCGACTCTTGGTCTCTTTTTCTTTCGTTTTCTTTTTACCAAAAAACCCCCCAAAATTGGCGAGGGCAAAGGATTGGTTGGTCTTTGTGATTTCTTTTTTTCCTTCCCCTCAATTTCAGAAACGAAAGAGAGGTAGTCGGAAGAGGTACATCGCGCGGCGGGCAACAGGGCAGGCAGCTTTGATCTTCGTCGGAGGCATTTTATCCGATGCATTGCAAGACATGGGAAATCAGGAAGACACACAGAGAGAGAGAGGGCGGCAAGGCATTAGACAGTTGGTCTCTACCATTATCCCATCTTCTTTCCACTCAGACCAAGAGACAGCTTTCCATAGACTGAAGAAAAGAAAGCAAATTTCCACAATAACCCATGCCCCCCCAAAAACGAGGCTTGTGAGGTCTACTCCACTATCTATCAGTAGTTCATGATGCGATGCGTGATGTCGGGCAGCTGCATATCTTTCTTCAACACAATTTGCAAAAAGAAAGGGCTACCGAGCCAATGGGAACACAACGTCCCTGCATCCTGACGAACTGGGGGATCGACTAGTTGGATCGGGGGGGGGGGGGCTCGCCAGGAAGAAGAAACGAGCAGCAAGCACAGCATGTGTGCCAGGGGGAGGGAAGGGAAGGTTGGTGGCATTCGTTACACGGCAGGGTGATTTGACGCGCAGTCTCGTATCCCGCCATGGTGTTGGCCCCCAATAAACGGTTTCCGGGAATCCCGCGATATCTGACATGCGATACCGTATGTGTGTGTACGTGTGTGTGTGGCTTCTCATCAGTACGGACCTTACGATATGACCCCCGGTTACACGGCAGGGCCAAGGTATACGAATGCCTACCTTGATCACTAATTCTCCGGCCGGAAAGGCCTGGCCTGGCCTTAAGGGACTCTTCAGTTCCTTCCGGAAATCGAATATTCAATGTTGGTGAGAGGCTGTGCCATGTTCATGCGCCTCGTTACCACGGTAGAGTGGTGTGTGATATTGTCTTACATGACGTCCTTGGTGAGGCTGGTGGGTGTGGAGATTTTGGAGGGGTGGTCAAAAGCCCAGACGAGCACGCGGCTCAGGTTTGGCCGTCGTTTGCCGCGGTGCTCGCCCGAAGACGATGAAATAAGGAATGAATATGGTTCCGGGTCGATTGTTGTGACTCTTTGTGGCAGTGGTGGTGTTGTCCTGCTCATCTCAAGTTTTGAACATCGTCCATGTGCTCTCCGGTGGCATTTGGCTGCTTCGTCAGATGCGCCTCTCTTGACTCACATCGGGCTGGCTGGGACGACTAGCCTCGTGAGACGGAGTACGTGCGACTAGTTTTCGGTGGTTGTCGTGGTGGTTGCCTTGAAGAATGAGATCTCACACCCACCATCATCAGTCGAACCCTACACCCCTCCATCCCTACTAGTTCATTGCACGGTTCGAGACTTGGCTAGATTAGGATGGCTAGCAGGCCAAGCTAAGATAATCGAGCACCCCACACTCAACGGGGGCAACGAGGCAGGTGATGTTCTGAGGGCACGTAAAAACCCCGCAGGGCCAAAGTTTCCGGATCGAAGACGTCCGGACGTTCGGAGGCAAGAGGTCGGACTGCCCATCTATCGATCACTGGTTACCGAGAATAACCAAGACTGGCTGCTGCCAGCCACTACTCCAAGCAGGAGTTCGAGCTTTGAGATGTGGCAGATTGGTGGATGGATAGATGGGTGAGATCGAACGCTAAATCACCCAATCAGAGAGCCCAAGCTCGAACTGTAAGGTCAAGAGCTGCGATTTGACAGCCTTTTCGATGGGTTGGGGGTCTTCGTCTGCGTCCTTGTTTACGTTATCAAGCAGTCCACCTTGTGCTCCGATGCTTGACACGAGGCCTGCCAGGCTGCCCCTCCCCCTCCCTTACTCTCGGACCCCTGGCCTTGTCTTTGCTGCAGGTGGACGAAAAGAGGCTTGCTGATGACATAGGTAAGACAGCGTCCAAATCTCAAAGTGTTTCGTGGTGAATGGGATCAATGGGGAACGTTATTCTCGACTCCTCTTCTACGGGTCGCGAAGTAGTATATGCTAGACATCCGTACGCCGGGACCGGGACGACCGGGACGGGGGCGAGGAGACGCAGACGCAGAGATGCACGACATGATACGCGTGTTTTGAGGCTTTTGAACCTGCATCAGGTTGGAATAGGAAGACTAGAGGGATGTTGTGGGGAGGATAAGGAAAGCACTCACCAAATGCATGTTCAGATCTGACTGTGTTCAAGACCTAGAGTTACCACACAAAGTCAACCTGTAACAGATGTCCAAAATCTTGTGGGTCGAGTTGGTAGGCTGAAGATTAGTGCGAGAGGTACCCTGGACTTGGATAGTGTCTATTGATGCATCGTTGTTATGGCTTTGTGAATCGTGCGAGTAGCAGTGATAGCCGGCTGGCAAAATTTGCGTTGAGAGACTTGCATAAATCCTGACGATGAATTGGTTCTAGGCCTCGCGTGCATTTGGAGAGGGGGGTTGCGATTGTATGCAACATCTGCAACGCCTTGATTCATGCCGGAATTCGTCAGTGGTAAATCCGTCATCCAGACTGAGTTGTGACAATGCGACATAGGACCAATGGTAGCTCAGAATTGGGTCTGCTGAATGACTTGTGCTTTGAAGGAAGAAAATTCTTGAAAAAATATTTCAACACTGACGACTCTTGTTGGTCCGTCGAGGATTCTTCTCCAATTCATGGTGCCACACTCTCCAGCGTGAGGTAATGGGGAGCGAGCCAATGCGACGGCATGAGTCAAGACGCATTGGGTATGACGGCGACCAAGAGTCCGTAGGAAAACCAGCGGGATCACGGCAAGCAAGGCACGAATTCGTGCACGAATAGGTACGCAAAATCGGATAGGGAAGAGAAGGCGATTTTGGGTTGATCTGTCAAATATGTCAAAAGTGGCGGCCATGGGTTGCCAATCGACGACGGAGCAAGACCGGGCGAACAAGCTTGGGTTGGCCACTGACAAGCGCCGACAGCGCGAGGGAAAAATAAAGGCCTAGATTCGATGGAGACGGATTTGTGGTTCTTGGAGCTGAGACCGAGGACGAGGATGATGATGATGATAAGACGGCCTTGCTAGCTTGGTGGCTCTACTTGATTAGTACAGGTCTTTCCATGGTGCAGCGGCAGAAAGAGGAAATAGAGGTGCGATGATAAGCTGGCGGAGCATGCTCACTTAGTAGGTACTGTAGCACTGTAGCAAGCAAGCATGCATGGCATGGCATGGTATGGAAGGGCGAGTAGAGGGCGGCGACATTGGAGAGTCGAGGTTGGATGGAGCCACACCTCAGGTGCGCACGGCCTATGACCTGTCATGGCCTGCACTGGCGTTGGGTTGTGTTATGATTGCCATTTGTCGTCGGTTTCGTCGTCGTCGTCGTCGTCGAGGAGGATGACGATGATGATGATGATGTGGTTGCGAGGGACGTTTGTCGGCTTGTCGCGGCTGGACGTAAGTGCTGGCTGGGGATCGTGAAATAAATGACAAAGTGGGTGATGGATGGTTCTGGGTGGATTTCGGGAGAATCCAAGCACCCAAGATGCCCGAGACGATCGAGGCCCTCGGACTGTAGTGTGGCCAGAGCAGCAACAAGCTGACGGGTGGCTCCTGCCAAAAAGACAACCGGCGAACGGTACGGGCACTGAGGTACTTCGCACCTTCCAAGTAGCTCAAAGTGCCCCTGCCTTATCCGTATGGTCAGGCAGGTTCTCTAAGGTACCTAGACAGGCTCCTACCTTGCCGACCTTAGGTACCTACTTACCTTAGAGCAAAAGGACAAGGTACGTATCTGTACACAGGAGTTACGAACCTCCCATCCTCTGAGGGAACGGGCACTGGACGGGACCTGCTGAATCTGGCTCCCGAAGAAGACAGCCGCCAAGCTTTAGTAAGCCAACTGGTATTTCTGTGCCTCAGGCTAAACAAGGAGACAAGAAGCAGCCGCAGAGCCCAGCAATCGAGAGACCAAGACTTTCAACATCAATTCAAGACTACTCGTTTGGGTGATGACGACCCTACACTCCATTTCTAAGAAAATACCTTAGGGAAGGCAAGGCAGGAAAAGGCGAAGGCGAAGGCGACTCCCGTAGGAGGGGCAGGGACCTTGAAGGAGATGGACAACATTGAACAACCATGGCTTAGTCAAGCCTGGAGCAGGGAAATGGGAGGGAACTAACGAAACCAAGAAATACTTGCGGGTTCTTCGACGCACAGGCGGCCGCGGTACCTTCACAGATCGGGCAAGTATCTTTTTTGTCTCGGTCTTGGCGCTCGTCTGTTCTGACCCTCAACCAACGAACGGCAACGGGCCCCAGCAGCTAAGGTACGGATAGATTTCATCTCAAAGACAAAATAACCACAGACATTTTGCATTTTGGCCTTCCGTCCCGGTTCCATTGTCTCGCACAGACAGATCCAGAAAGAGAGAGAGAGGGAAAGAGAGAGAGAGAGCCTGGGTGGGGAGACGGACACGCAACCGCAACTGCAGCCGCAACCGCAGCCGCTGTTGGTGGTGCAGTTGCAAGTTGCCATTTGCCATTTGCCAGTTGCCAGTTGCAGCTTCAAGATGGCAATATCTGCAAAATGCAAATCGTCAGGCCCTTTGGCCAAGTCGAAACGCGCAATCCCCTCTCCACCGGCAATCACATCTCAACTTTTTCTCCTTCCCCTCGTTCTCGCCGACACAACTTGGACCTCGCATCATCACATCATGTCATCTTGTGCGGCGTGCCTACCTACCTTACCTTATCCTCTTTGTAGCTACTTGCCCGCTGCGGCGCTGCAAATGCAAAACCAGTCCCTTTCTCTCTTCCCCTCCTCTCTTCCTCCCCTCTCTCCACTTCCATTGTGCATATCCCCGTTTGGGTCAGCGACTCGGACCAGGATTGAAGCCAAGACGACATGGGCTTTCCTCAATGTGACCCTCCCCTACGAGCCAGTGCGCTTATCCGCTTCTCGTCGGACCTGCGTCTGCACCACCCATGCGAGCCAGGTTGCCAGGGTCATCGCTTCTTTTTCTTTCTTGCCAAAGAACAGAAGGGGGGTGGACTAACTGACCAATCAGCGAAGCAATGACCCTTCGACCCTCATCGTCTGTCTCTTTCTCTCCCTCGCTCTCAAAAGTAACATCATCTACCTATCTACTCCATGTTCCGCTCCTGCTGTACTGCTGTACGAACACACCACTTATCCTTGCCGGGGACTACGATATACCACAAGGCTATGGATAGACACGTCGGTTTCCGCAACTAGGACCACGCATTTGTGCACATCACGGCCATCCTCCGCCGCCGCTAACTCGGTCTTTGAACCCTTCAAGCATCCAGAGGAACCATCACTCTCGCCGCTCCCACGCTAAAATCCTCTTAGCAGAAGGGAGGCTCTGCTCCGTTCGAGCCCACGGGATTTGGGCCGCCCGTCGCAATATACCTACCTTACGATATGGCAAACTCGAAGAGTACACGGTACTACATAATTGAGCTTCGGCAGACTTGAGCAAGGGTGAACAGCAAAG